TTATTTCAGAACCCGCTTCCCCTCCCCCATTTCTGAAGAAGTGTCTAAGCCCGAAACGTCAGCTTTCCTGCTCCTCTGATGCTGCTTGGCCTGCTGTGTTCATCCAGCTCTACACCTTGTTATCTCAGATTCTCCAGCATCTGCAGTTCCTACTATCTCTGCTGTTCTTCCAGCTTGCATTGATGTTTGTTGGAGCACTGTAGCAAGCCTGAGACAGAGATGTTGGCTCGGGAATACAGTGGTGCATTGAAGTGGCAGGCAACAGGAAGATCGGGGTCATTTTTATGGACAGAACATAGGTGTTCTGGAAAGCAGATGCCCAGCCTGTGTTTCATCTCCCCAATGTAGAGGAGAACACATTGTGAGCAGCAAATACAGCAGACTACATTGAGTGAAATGCAGGTAATTTGCTGCTTCACCTGGAAGGTATATCTGGAGCCTTGGATAGTGAGGAGGGAGGAGTTACCCCTTCTGTCATTGCATGGGAAGGTGCCATGGGTTTTTGAGAGGTATTGGGAGTGGAGGAGGAGTGAAACAGGGTGTTTTTGCAACCTGACAAGAACATTGCAACATATGATGTCAGTGAGCTCCAAAGTACAGTTGCAAAGTACTGGTATATTTTGAGTTAACCTGAGATCAGTCATGGTGATTGTGGCAAGGCTGGTATTTTGCCAATGCTGCCTCCCATCAAAGAATGGAAAGCATTCACTGCCCATGGAAACCATCATGAGGTACCAGTGAAAGGATCCTATGATAAAGGCCTGGAGAAGCAACCAGCACAGTGCATCTACCAAGTAAATGAACTTGGTTCAGAAATTAGTTCCAAGTAGTTTCTCACCAGTGCCTAGCAGAATTGCGACATAGATATAAATGAGGCAAGACTAGATACTAATGATATGTAATTGCATGGAAATAGGATGCTCACCATTAGTGAGATTTAGTACTTGCCATTGACACTTTAAGAGGAAGATAAGGTTTTTTCTGCCCAAATTTGAGAATCAGATCTTTTCATTCTTGCTGTATTTTCCCAAATTTATAATCATTACCTGCAGCTCACTCAAAGCACTAGAAAAAAAAAGGGTCAACAGCACAACAACAGATGAAGAAGAAGCCTTCCCCACAGCAATAAAGTACAAGGTGGTGCTGGTGTGCGAATTTATTGCAGAATGAAACTCCCATTGGACCCTACATCCAGTTAAGTCTTTGGGCGACCATGTTGTGCCACCTAAAGGGCAGGGGGTGGGGGATGGGTTTTAAAGACTGTGCAGGTAGGAAGGGGGCTAGCCTGATGATCAAAAGGGATCCTCCAAATGTGGTACCACCTTTGCTTCAAGCCATGTTAGAATCTTTAATATAAGGACTGCCCGCTGTCAGCTGCCTGCCCATACCAATCGAATTCTGGCATTGACCATGGGAATATTAGGGTCAAATAAGTTTTTAAACAAGGTCAATTAGCTATTAATTATTTATTAACAGATGGTGGGCAAGTGCCACTTTTGGCACCTGTCACTCTCCATATTATGGTGGTGAGCTAAGGGTTAAGTGGGAAGGTGGTGGGATAGCTACCTGACCTATTTTACGTGCCCCTCTCCTGCCAAAAGTATGCCTGGCAGGGGCATGCAGTTCTAGTCTCACATCTCCAGTACCTTTAAATACCTTCCATTTTCTAGCTTATATTCCAATTTCCGTATTCAAAGAGGAATGTTGATCTCATATAGCATTTTGGTAATCTCATTCTGCTTTCCATAGGGATTATCTTATTTCTAAAGAGAACAAACATTTTTGTAAGGGTTTGGTTTTCACATGTTATGTATTTTCTTAGGGCTTAATTACTTTTCCATCAGATATTATTATAAAGAATATTATAAACACCAACACATTAATAGATTATAAAATCAAAGTAATAATAACCAATACCAAATCTTTGGTTAGGCTGAATTTCATATAGACTTTCAGGTCTCACCTTATCGAATGATGTCAAGACTATTGAGAGGGTGTAGGAGTAATTCACTCAGATAATATTGTGATGAAATACTCCCTTTGCAAAGAGCCTCAAGATATTAGGGGCAGAATCTTCCAAGCCCCTGAACAAAATGGGCAATGGTGTATTAGTTGGGAAAATATCACAAGAACGGAAAAAATGAGATTTTTCACCAAGGCTTTAAACGCAAAAAAATTCTCATTATTACCTAATCTCACCTCATTTATGTGCAGGTTACTATGTTCTCAGACAGTGGAAAGAAACTAGTCAGCAACAATTCCTGATATGGAAGTTTTAATGGGTATCTGGCAGATGCAACTTGCCAAATTCTTCTCCAGGTATTCATTTTGGCCAGTATACCCCAACAGCTCAAGGCATGCTCTATTCGCAATAATTGCTTGCACCCTCCATGTAGGGAGGTTGGCATTGGCAAAGTGCCAGCCTCACTGTATCATTAGGGCACATTTGGAACTCACTTATAATACAGATCAGCTCCCCCAATACAGTACTTCGAAGCTTATTGACTTCTTAACTTGCAATACTGCTGCCAAATTGCACTGAGTGATTGGATCCATCTCATTCATCTCAACAATGTGCATATCTGGCTTGCTTTCTTGGCATTTACTCACAGCATTGCTGCTTTACCTTGGCTTGTACAGGAGACAGATAACCAGGTAACTTGTCATGTTTGGCAGCAATGAACAGTCAAAAGCGAATAGGACTAGCCTGTCATTCGTCTGCAAATGTTGTAAAATTCTGTATTCTATTAGAGTGTTGCCTGAAAAGGAGTACTCAAACCTTTTACCCAGGTATTCCCTTGTGTGACAGACAAAATGCAGGGAACCGACTCAGACTTCAATTAAACAAACCCTTCTTTATTTAACCCTTTAAGAACTCAATATAAAACATACATTCATTGCAACTTTGGCTTCTTATTTCATCTAACTTCAACTTTAACTCATTTCATTTAACTTCACCTTACCTTTCTTTACTTTACTTATGAGGTGAGATTAGGTAATAACCCTAACTCTTCCTTTA